GGCCTTCGTGGTTTTTAATTCTTTGTTCTGATGGATCTCCTGGTTTTGGACTTACCCTTGCGTTTTGGATTTTCCCTAAGGACTACTCTCGGATTGTTCGCCTCGATCACACCTCCCCCGTGCACCAGCGCACTTTGGACACGCCCCCCTGTCTTCTGCCCCGTTTTCCTGCATGACATTTCCCCCAATGTTTCCCCACTCCGTCGGACTGTGTCGTCCGCATAGGGTCCGGAAAGAACTGGTCGTTACAGAGGGCAAAAACTGGTGATAATAGCAGTGACAAAGTACACAACCTCCTCACAGCTGCTGGCATGCTTTGACCTGAATGTAGAAGAGGAACATGTAAGTCGAAGTTACATTGATATATTCTCTCCAGTTCATTGCCAACATCTGTCTTCAGCATTTAACAATAGTTGAAAACTACAATAACTGCATTTTGTCTGTTTTTTCAGATGTTTCACATTCACTAAACTACGCTGTACTGCCACTGATAGCATCTGTGGAACAGAGACTGATTTTTTTTATATTTCTTATTTCTTCTGTGGGGTATCCAATTTATAATCCTTCCAACAACCTGCGAAGACTGCATGAGAAGTAAACCAAATCACAAAGTTGTTTTAATTTATTAATCGAACTGTCTGTGGCTTGGAAACAATCATACACTGTGTGTATGTGTTTGTTTTGTAGATACCACCTCCCATTCACCACCAGCCAGGCTGCCAGAAGGGCATTTGAGATGGCCACAAAGAGGCTCACAGATGCACAGGAGAGCATCGTGGCGGATTATCTGGCCCACTCAGATGGTACTGCAGAGAAACACTAGAGGATGCTGACACATGACAACATCTGCTCAGCCATTGAAGTTATTGAAGGTGTTGCAGAGGAGGGAGCTGAATAAATGACAAAATATTGGGGGGGCAGAGGTCAAAGCCACATTACCTCCCTTTGAACTGTTTTCTCCAGTCTCCACTGGGTCAAAAAATGAGATTCGCCTGAAAGTTAATCTGGCCTGCTTGCAAATAGAGGCACAGGAAAAAGCCCAGGCACGCCAGGTAGAATTCGAGTTGCACCTTTGTAGCAGACAGCTTCCTCTGCATTGTGTCAAATGAACACCCAGGGACACCAGGTAGAGGTCTGCGATTTTATTTCCTTATAGAACATAAAACATGTGAGCGTTACACACGCTAAATGTCTCTCTCTCTCTCTCCCGATTGGCATCCAAAATGCGTCTGAGATCATATTATATAAAATAACAGAATAATAATAATTCCTAGAATGATATATAAGATCTAACAATATAAAGAATGATATATAAAATAATAATTAAATATATAAATGCAATCATATAATATATTATTAACACAATACCCACCATCTATGTACATTCACATGACTACACATATATCACATCAATATCAAATCAATTAGAACAGTGGGTCTCAAACTGTGGTACACGTACCTGCAGTGGTACGTGGCGTGCCGCCAGGTGGTACGCCAAATGACCGTGGAACTGTGTTGTGTGCGCTGAAAAAATTGGGACGGGTTTTCATATTTCGTATTTTTATACGCGTCGAATACGCAGCCTACGTACTACGATACAGTGTGCGCTAATACTTCAGTGGACACAAGAGATACTCTGTAATTCTATACCACTCTATAGGAATGCGTGCTGCGGACGCAAGTGACCAATTGTATTTAAAAAAAGCTACTGCATTATCTCCAGCAAATAGGGAGAAAGGAGAATGTGCGTGATTTTGGAACAATGCCAACTTTGTAAACACAGGAATGCATAGAAATGCGTGCTACGAACGCTGGTAATCTTGTGAGCACAGGAAAGCG